GTCGGGTCGGGCCGGGCCGGGTCGGGTCGGATGAGGGGGGTCGCTCATGCCTGTCTGGGCCGTGTCCCTCGTGGCACCGGCCGGGAAAGGTGCTGTCACTTTGCTGCTTTAGGGAAACTTTTTGGGGTTATCTTTTTTCGGGACGGGAGGCGGGTCTCCTGGCATCCTGCCCCCTCCTTTCCCACTGCCTGGAGAGGTTTTGTGGGGCCTCTAAGTCGAGGATGTCCCCGTTTTCTCGGCTTGATCCGGCTTTGGGGATGGGCCCCCTGCCCTGCTGTTGACTCCCTGCGATGGGACAGGGCCCAGTGGCTCTTGGGGCCTGATGGGTTGGGGACACAGAGGCGCTCACCTGGCCCCAGGGGACAGCAAGGCCCTGGAGCTGCCCTGCTCTCTTTAGACCGCGGAGCTTGGTGCTTTTTGCCTGTCTCTTTTCCATGCGGAAACTTTCCATGGGGCACAGATCCACTGCCCAGCCGCCTGGCGATGCTCCGGCCACTGCGCTCCAACTCCAGGCATGAATTATGCAAAGCCCGGGTTTCTGCTGCTCCCCTTCTCCCATCCCCCGGCAGCCACGCAGCTGCTGAAGCATCACGGGAGACATTCCCAGACCTGAGACCCACGCAGGTTCCCATCCTGGCACCGCTCCAGCAGGACAGGGTTGACCGGAGCCAGCGCCTGGATCCCCACCTGTTTTCCATCCCTTCCCCACACCTGATGCCGGGAGCGGGAGCTGCCGGCGTTCAGCTCCGGTGTCTGCTCCTGCGCCTGCCATGATAAAAATAACTTAAATTATAAACCTGCCTGAAAGCCTGCGAACAAAGTCCTACTTTCCCATTGGTTCCCGGCAGGCCTCTAAATGCTGGAGGGAGGGAGGGAGGGAGGCAGCGGGTCCCCACCACGCCGTTGCCATGGCAATGGGTCCCGCTGCATCCCTGGGTTCGGTCCCTGTCACTCCTGTGCTCCAGTGACCTGGGGGAGGGAAGAGCTTGAGCCGAGAGGAATTTGGGCAGCCGGAGGTGGGTCGTTTGAGGGAGGCTCCTAAGCAGCCTTGTGGGTGTGGGAGCACCCAAGACCACAACTCCGCGTGGGGAGCCTGGTGCAGCCGCCCTCGCCGACTGTCATCGCATTAAATAAGCGATGAGTGAGCGCGTGGGGGGAGTCGCTCGCAGCGAGCGGCTCTGCGGACGCCCCGGTGACTCACGGCCAGCACGGGGGGACACCCGGACAGAGCGGGGTGGGTGGCCCAGGTAACGTGGGTGTTTGCCGTGCCCTGACCTCGCGTGTCCTCCGCAGGAGGCTGCCGGGAGCTGGGATCCTGCGAGAAATGTCTGCAGGGCACTGCCTCCCACAACGGCTCGGGCTGCGTGTGGATGGGCTGTGGGGCGCCCGAGCGGCCGGGTGAGCACCGACCTCGCGGGGCTCCCTCCACGTGGTGCCCAAACTCGGAGGCAATTCCACCGCGCTCGCCAGCATGAGGAGCAGGGTCCCGGGCGGGCCCAGAGCCGGCACTGGTTAACGAAGGATCTAACCAAAACGGGGACTGCGTTGGGCGGAAAGAGCTTCCCAGAGGCCATGTTCTTGTATTTAGTTGCCAAAATGAGTTTGGAAACCCTGCGTCCCTCACCGGGGCGCCAGGCCCGGGCCGCTTCCCGTGGCCAAGGTCCCATCGCGCCCCGCGCCCCTGACCTTCCAGGCCGGCCGCCTGCCAGCCCCATGCCCGGGGTGTAGGATTTCGGCTGCTTCCAGTTGCGCCGGGCTCAGGGAGTTGCTGGAAACCCTCCAGGTCCCGGGGTTGGAGCACAGGGAGAAGCCGTGGGGAAGTGCTGGGTGACTGGGAAAAGCCAAGTACTCAAGAAGTGCTGGTCCTGGAGGCTCTTTCCCATCACGCGCACCCACCCCTGGGCGCTGGGGCGGTGGGTGCCGAGGTGCCCATGGGCGAGGGAATGGCGGGAGCTGCAGGTCGAGGGCTCGGTGCTGCTGGAGGCTCCACGTGGGGATGCGCTGGGTGGGAACGCTGCTCCGCGTCCCCGCAGGGCCAGGCCGCTGCGTGCCCAGCGAGGAGGCGGCGCGGGGAGCGTGCGCGCTCTACAACAGCTCCGCGCGGTGCCCAGGTGAGCGGCCTCGGGGCAGGGACCCCGCGTGGGGACACAAGCTCAGGCGGCCGGGGGTGGCTCCCCAACTAACGGCCCTTTTCTTCCCCACCCCTTCCAAAATCACCATCCATCTAGTGCTGCGATCGCCCACCGAGGAGCCGCCGCGGCCACCTAGCAAAGAGCCGGTGACACATTCCGCACGTGAGCCGCGGGGGCCGGCCGGGCTGCGGGAATTGCTGTGGGCACATGCCAGGGCAGAGGGCAGAGGAGAAGGGGGAGGAAGTGTTTGTGCCCGGAGCCGCTTCCAGGAAGCGGGAATCGGAGAGCGCCGGGCTCATTAACAGCAGTAACTGGATCCCGGAGCCCTGTGAATTATTGATCCGTGCAGGGCTCCTTTACCTGCCAGCCGCTGGCTTGGAAGGGGCTGGAGGGGGGTGGGTAGGGCGGGTGCCAACCCCCCCTGTAGCCTCCCCTCGCTGCCCCCAGGGACCACCACGAGGAGCGCCCCGCTGACGGGCAGCCCCGAGCTGCCCCCGCCGGGCTTCGACACGGCCAGCTTCGTCGGTGGCATCGTGCTGGTGCTCAGCGTCCAGGCCGTCGTCTTCTTCATCATCAAGTTCATCAAGTCCAAGGACAGCACCTACCAAACGCTGTAAGGCCCCCGGGCCCCCGCCGCCCCCCTGCACTGCTGCGACGGGTGGGAAGGGACCCCCGGGTGCCACCAGCCCAAAGCCACCCTCATACCCCTAACTTGGGGTCCACCAAGTGGGGCTCTGTGTGTCCTGTGTCCGCTGTGTCCTGTGCTGCTGCTGAGTGTGTCCCCATGGCTGCTTGTGCCGTCCCCAACCTCCCAAGGGAATATGGGGGGTTCTTGCTGCTTTTGCAAGCAGGGCATTAACCCCCCGTGGTGTCAGTGTCCCCCCATGCGCCCCCCCTACCCCGTGGCACCGCCGGCTCTGACGCCGGGCCCGGGCCCCGTCTCTCTTTCCTTGCACGCCGCCAGCGAGGACAACTAGTAGGTGCTGGGTGAGGGCTGCGCCCCGCCGGGAATGCTCCCCGGGAATGCCCTGTTGCTGCTTTCCCGCTGCATGCCGGGCCTTTCCTGCGGGATTGCTCTTCCGCTGGTGGTTGGTGCCCTGCGGAAGGAGGTGCTCCCATTTCCACTCCCGCCTTTCCATGCAAACCCACTCAGCGGTCGGGATGCTCCTTCCAGCAGCAAGGCCTGCGGGTCGCCCAGTGCTTTTCCCTTGGCATCGGGGCTGGAGCACCCGGCCCGGCCACGTTAACATCCTGCGGCGCCCCGGCCCCATCCCGGCGCCGCCGGGCGCGCGGGGACGGGACTCACTGTGTGCTGTGCTGTGCCTCTGTGTTGCCGTGTGTCCCGGGGGGGTCCCCAGACTCCCCCCTGCCGCCGTGTGTCGTTTCTCTCTCCTGGGGTGCCTGCTGTGTGCCGTGGGGTGACACTTGTAGCTCGGGCTGCCCCATTAAGCTCTGCCAGGAGGTGTCTGTGTGTCTGGCCGTGGTGCTGCAGGGGGCTCAGTGCCAGGGGGACACACAGACCCCTGCGGTAGCTCCCACCTCCGCACCATTCCCGGGGCCATCCCTTCCCCAGGACGGGGAATCTCCTGCAGGGCTGCCAGGCAGAGCCCCTTCTGCCACCCCGTCTCCCTGCTGCACTAGGATCTGAGGCTGGTGCCCGCCTGGCGCTGGGGACACCCATCGCTGCTCCCGCCTGGGGCTGGCAGAAGAGGTCGGTGCCGCCGTCTGCCTTGTCCCTGCTGCCAGCAGCGTCCCGGCCCGGCCGCTGGCCCTGCCCAGACCCCCGGCCCCACAACTATGCAAAGGCGGGGCCCGGGCTCCCCTGGGCTCCAGGGGCTGGCACGGGGGGCTGCGGGCAGGATGCTGGCAGTGCCCACCCTGGGGTCTCTCCTGCTCCAAGCCCGGCTCCGCTGGGTGCAATTGCACAGGGGGGCTGGGTCCCATCCAGCCCCCCACTCCCCAGCTGCTCCCTTGGTCCCGCTTTGTGCTTGGGCGCGGACACAGGAGCCGGGGGGGGGCCAGGCACCCTTGGGAGTCGGGGGCCTCGGGGCCGGGACAAGGAGCAGGGCGGCTGTGGCTTCCCCAGGAGCCGGCCCTGCCCCATCCCAACTCACATGGGGCAGAGCCGGAGCATCTGATGGGTAGAGCTGGCGCAGGGCGGGCAAAGACCCAATAAAGGACTTTCCTCTGGTACCTGGTGTCCGTGTGGTGGTTTTCCATGGAGAGGGCAGCCCCAAGACACCTTCATTGCAGAGGCTTCCCCGGAGAAACGACCCGGGGCCGAGGCCAGAGGACTTGGAGCATTGGAGGTTGCTGGGCCGGGCTCTGCAGCTCCAGGGAGCGTGGGCGGCTCCGGAGGTGGCTGCCTGGGAAGTTTTGCTCAGATCCAGCACGAGGTGCCGCTGGGAGCGGGAGCAGAGCCCGTGTCACTGTGCTGGGTGCTCAGCACCCTCCTCCCTGCGCATACTGCTCCAGAGAGCTCCGATTCCCACAGCTGGAAAGGGGCCCTGCTGGAACACCCGTGTGACTGGGCTTCTCCAAACTGTCCAAAGCTCGAGGGGGAGAAAAATCCCTGCAATGGGTCAGACTGGGGACACCAGGTCTCCCCACACGCCGAGGTGCCGGGAGCAGGGTCAGAGCCAGGCACTTGCTGCCACCAGCCCCTGGGGCTCTGCCTTTCCCAGCAGTGCAGCCGTGGGAGCAGCAAGCCCCGGCACGCGGGACACCCGTGTCCCTGGTGTCCCCACAGGCTCCCGCCCTTCCCATCTGCTCCCTCCTTCCCTGCTGGCCCAGCCCTGGCCTGGGAACAGCGCGGCTGCGGCTCGCCCAGCCCGGGGGGGCGGCACCGCCCCGGCCCCCGCGTGCCCGCAGAGCCGCCTTTCCAGCTGGGAAAAGCTTCCCGTGCCGCTGGATTGCCCACAACTGCCTGGGCCTCGGCCAAGCCCGCGCCGCCCTCCAGCCCCGCGGAGACGCGTCCCGCGGGGGCCACCAGCCCCGTCTGCGTGTCCCGGGGACCCTCCGCAGCCCCGTGCCCGGGTGGGGGGCGCGGCGGGGGCACAGCTGGCACCGCACGGCCCCTCGCCCCTGGAATCTGCTTCCCGTTGACCCAAAACGGAGCAACTTGGCTATTTGCTCCAGCCGCGGGATCCCCAGCAGCGCCCGGCAGGGCCGGGGCTTGTCCCGACCCCACGCGGGTCCCCGCGAGGGTCCCCACGCTCCATCCCGACACCTGGAGCCCCGCGCACGGCCCCGTGTCCCCGGCCCGGCCGCGGTGCCCCCGGCCGCGCTTCCCCTTCCCGCCCCGCCGCCGTTTCGCAAGCGGCGCCGCGCGGGGAGCGGGACGGCCCCGGCAAAGGGGGGGGCCTGGCCGCTCTCCGCCCCCCCAAACCGGGGGGCTGGGCTGGCCCCACGTGGCCGCCGTTGACTCAGAGCCGGGGCAGGCGGAAGCGGCGCCCGGTGCCCGGGGCGGGGCGGCCCGGGACGGCGCCCGCAGAGGCGCGGAGCGGAGCGCGCTGCGGAGCGGAGCAGAGGCCGCTCCGGTCCGGTCCGGTGCGGAGCAGAGCGCTGTGCGGTGCAGAGCGGAGCAGAGGCCAGTCCGGTCCGGTGCGGAGCAGAGCGCTGTGCGGTGCAGAGCGGAGCAGAGGCCAGTCCGGTCCGGTGCGGAGCGCTGTGCGGTGCAGAGTAGAGTCTGGTAGTCCGGTCCGGTCCTGTCTGGTGCGGGGCTCGGTGCGGAGCAGAGCTCGGTCAGCTGCGGAGCAGAGGCCGGTCCGGTCCGGTGCGGGGTGCGGTGCTGTGCAGAGCGGAGCTCGGTCCCGTCCCGTTCGGTGTGAAGTTCAGTGTGGAGCAGAGCGTGGCACGGAGCAGAGCGTGGAGCAGAGCGTGGTGCAGAGTGGGATCTCCCCTTGCTGACTCGGGTGCAGAGCAGACCAGCTCGGTGCCGAACCACCCGGTGCTGGAAGAAGTGCCAAGCGGAGCAGCCAGGTGCAGAACGGCACGGGACAGCCCCAAGCAGGACAGCGGGAGCACGGGCAGCCCGGTGCCCACTACCAACCCTGCCCGTGCGGGTCGCAGCCCCCGGCCACCCGGTGCATGGAGGCTCCAGCGGTGCCGCCGGTGGCCGGGAGCTGCTGGCAGGACCCGCTGGCAGTGGCGGGCACGGCGGGGCGGCCGGTGTGCCG